CATTTTCTTCCAAAGAGGGACCCCTTATAATTCCGTGACGTTATTAAATCTGAAGAGGTGCCGGACTACATTGCATTCACTGATTGAGCGTAGACGCAGGGTACTTAATCCCTGAAGTCAAAATCTTCTTGACGTAAGTCAACGCATAAAATCAGTGAGCCTCCTGCCCTTACTTATCATATCCAGCTTTTGTTGGGCGACGCTTTGGTCACCGTTCTCGGACAGATAGCCTACGGTAGATCAGTCACACTTCCACCCATCACACCGGCCCTCCGACCGATCAGCGGTGTACGTTATCTGCGTCTTCCGGTCAGTGACGGAAGTACGTCTGGGTCAAGGGCCAATGAGCCACTTCGGTCTGACTTCTGAACCGCGTGCGTAACCGATGAACACGGGCGCAGTCAATAGCGGCCACTGGGGGGGGGGGGGGGGGGGGGGGCGGTCATAACAAATTGCATACTGTTTGAAAAGGCACCACTTGATTGAGGCCTTTACATATCAGGTGTCAAACAGATCACCTTCTGATAGATCCTTGGATATTGGATAAAGTTACGGCTGAATACGCTTGGATGTCAACATTAATCGCGTTACTCCCACCCAAACACCTGCTTGACTATGCTCTGCCGAGCGGCGAAACATGGCGGCTGATATCAGCTGACGCAAGCGCTGATAATCTGAAGATGATCACAGTTCACGATAGGACAGTCGGTATAAAGCGCGTGGCACCGGCCGGCGGCAGAGCATGAGTGAAGCGGCAGCATTGGACATTGTGTACCGGTCTACAGAGAGAAAGTCATCATGAAGATCCAGGTCAGTTATCTGGCTGGCATAAACGAGGGCGACGAAAAGCCGTTGGACTGATGCTTTGTACCGTGACTGCGTGGCAAACGTTTAAGTGGTGCAACTTTCGGAGCTTTTCTAATCTTGTCAGTGCCGTGTTTGCATCTGAACGCGCAAAGTCAGTAAGGGGATATGGCCACGCCACGTCACAACACCGCTAACTTGGCTGGTGTTGTAACTGAACAGTAAAAATGAGTTTTGCCGACTCTGTAGCCTGAAACATAATCACCGAATTACACAACTTCACATAGCTTGCAATGACTCGTTGTCGTAAGGGTGGTCTAGATGTTAAGACACTGGAAAGAAATCCAAATTTCGATACCTGTCTGGATTTCCCCCCTGAACAATGGAATTACAGCAATAACCAACGAGTGCCAGATTACACGAGCCGCACTATAAAAGGTATACAAATACACTTAACAGGCACGCACACCGATAGTGACCTGCGCATTTGTGTTGCAGATCTGTCTCACTCTCCTCGTGGCATCAGCCACAGCGGCCGTCAGAAGACCCGTGGGACTGAGCCAAGACGGTACCTACTGGCCTGAGAAGGCCCAGGGTGGTAAACGTCTCCTGGGACTGAGTCAGGACGGCACCTACTGGCCTGAGAAGGCCCAGGGTGGTAAACGTCTCCTGGGACTCAGCCAAGACGGCACTTACTGGCCTGAGAAGGCCCAGGGTGGTAAACGTCTCCTGGGACTCAGCCAAGACGGCACTTACTGGCCTGAGAAGGCCCAGGGTGGTAAACGTCTCCTGGGACTCAGCCAAGACGGCACTTACTGGCCTGAGAAGGCCCAGGGTGGTAAACGTCTCCTGGGTCTGAGTCGAGACGGTACCTACTGGCCTGAGAAGGCCCAGAAGGCCCAGGGTGGTAAACGCCTCCCGGGTCTGAGTCAAGACGGCACCTACTGGCCTGAGAAGGTCCACGATGGTAAACTTCTCCTGGGTCTGAGTCAGGACGGTACCTACTGGCCTGATTTCGTTGACGCTGAAGAGGAAACGGACCCCCTGTCTGCCGTTATCAGCGACAACTTCAACGGACACTTGGGGTCGTCTGACCTGTCCGGACAGGGCCGGCGCCAGAGCGGGACAGAGACGGCCCGCGGAGGACAGGGGTCAGGGTCATCCAGACGTCACCGACAGCGTCAGGAGGGCCGGAACGGTGGCCACGGCTACGGCAGGTCCTTCAACCCGGCAGCCGAAGATGCCAAGACCCGGGAGTAGAAGATCTGATGGGCTGGTGTTGAGCGCAGAAGATCTGGCCCGACCTAATCTGACCTGACCTGATCTGACCTGAGGTGATCTGAGGTCAGCAGGGGTACCAACGCAGCTCAATGGGCTACACTTCGGCGCAGATGTTGTACATGATGTATATGCTGTGTGTATATTATATCGTGTCGTATATGACGTGTCCTTTCACCTTCAAGGTTACATGAGTCCTACATGCCTGATGCGCGCTCTGGGGGAGATTGGCTCGGAGTGGTATGTGGGACTGGAGGCTTGAAAAGAAACCTGGTGTACCAAGAAAACCCTTTTCATGCGGAAAAAGGCCGTTTGGATGTGAAGATCAATCTGTGCTTGACAAACTGTTTTCTATATTTCTGAAGTGCTATTTTCATGCTTTTTTGCAATGTTTTACAAAGCGCACACCATCAGCATGTTCATCAGGTATTTTAAGGGATGTTCGTTGATGACAATGAAAGTTTTACACGCATGCGGCTCAATGACATGGCAAAAGATAATGGATAATACAAATACAACAGTCAGCTCTTAATGTCTGAAAATGAACACGATACCAGCAATTAGCGATG